CATATATATTTGATGATCTAGTTTGCATAAAGTTTAAAAGTACCAGATACTCGAAGAAGATTTTAATATTGTATGTTCTTTTAACTCCTAAGACACTTGTCTGGACTAAGAATGCGCATTAAAAAATGGCAGTTAATTGGTTAATGTCGAAATCTTAATATTTAAATTAAAACTTTATAATTAATTCAAGAGAATGATATTATTTAATGATTAAATTATAATCACTTCGCTGATTTTTTCACAAATTAACTTACAAATTCAAAGGAGAAATGAAAAATTGATTCTACTTGACAGACATGTTCTTAAACATAAAACATCGTATTTTTTTTTTTACAATATATGCCGTATCTTCAATTTTACTATAAAATGTAGTGCTTGTCATTTTAACATACAAACGTGTTGATGATAATTATTTTTTTAGAAAACTATATTGCTGTAATTTCAATACAAAAATGTATTGCTGGTAATTTTTTTATGAAAGTTTATTGATTGTATTTTTACGATAACAATTCACATTTATACTTTCCTATTTTTTTTAATTTTATTTTGGGTGTTTACTAGTAGCCCATAGCTTGCACCCTAATAGTTGCTACCACCCTGGATTAGGTTAGACATGGAAACAACAGTAATTAAAAAGTGGTTCTACGATCCTCAAAATCTCCTGATCTGAGGCCTTGCTGTCGAATGTCATAAACTACATCCAAATTCAAAATTTAAGTACGTAATACCTATTCAACATAAACAAACAGTATTTAGAACTACTATGGACTAGGTCCTCCATTTGCTCGTTTCAATGTATGTATTCGATTTTTCCTGGATTTGATCAAGTTATCAAAAATCGTTTGAGCCATATTTTGCCACTCTTTTAGTATTGTTTCTTTAAGGGTTGCAACTGACGGGATTTTTGTTGCACGCCCTCGATGTCTTCATTCCAGATGCTCCCAAACGTGTTCTATTGGATTCATGTCAGGATTTTGGGCTACACATAGCAGTGATTTGGTTCCTTGAACTTACTTCCAGACCTTTGCTACGTTGCACGTATGACATGCCGCTCCATCTTGAAAAAATCATGTCAACTTGATTGGTTTCAAATAGTGGGAGTAGTTCTTTCTCTAATATTTGACAGTATTTGGGCCATTCAACGGCTCATCAAGAAGAAATAGCTCAGATGTCCCTCAAAACCAGACAACACCCTACACCATTACTCCAACCTCTCCATGCTTTACGGTCACCTGCAGACATTCAGTGTTTCAAGTCTCATTCTGATTTCTTCAAACATAGACTTGTCTCGAATTCAAATACTGGCAGAATTTACTTTCATCTGACCAAATTACAGACTGCCAAAATTCATAATCTTTGCACTCGAATTCTCTCGCCCAGTGAATACGAAGGTTCCTGTTAACATCTGAAATCAAGGGCTTCTATCTTGCAACACTTCTTTGATAGCCTAGCTCTTTCAGAGTCTTTCTCACTGCATATAACGACATTGCAATGCTGTTGGCAACCCCTTTGACGCTCTGACGACGGTTTCTGATGATTTCCCTACTTAGTTCAATTTTCGTTCGCTCAGACACGATCCTATATCTTCCTGAACGTTGTTCCACACGATAATGGTCTTCTTCATTAAATTTCTTGACAATATTACTAACCCTTTAATAATTAACCTGAAAAAACATAGCAATTTCTCTATTTGACCTTGCCAAACTGATGACATCCTATTATATGCCCTTGTTGAAATTCACTAATTTCCTTACTTCCACAAACTTTCATTGCAAGATATAAGTCAACTATTGTTCATAGAGGAGAGTAGCTTGATAATAACACGTTATTGTGTGAAAAAAAGATGAGACGCTATTAAACAAACCAAAATTGCTATAATCAAGGGGGGGCTAAAAACTTATCATAGCCCACTGTAGAAGATTATAAAGGATAAAGGAGAGAAGGGGACATATACTGAAAAGGGGTTAGGGAAGAGACGAAACATAAGATAATGAATAATGTTTGTTCTCAATAGGTATAACTTGCTTAAAGTGCTGAAATGTAATCAACCGTATGATTTTTCTTACAGAACCTCAATGAAGTTACTCGCAGACTGTAAGCTGACACCCGAGAACACCTCAGATGTTTTTCTCTGTTTAAAAAAGCATTATCAAGAAAGTAATTTTGGATCGTTGCAAGATCCAAAGCAAAAGTAAGTATCAAAAGTGTCAAGTTCACGAATCTCGTAAGCCATTCAATGTAGAACTCAGTAGTAGTTTTGGGGTTTTGATTTTTTACTAATGTTCACTTAATACGAGGCTTGATAGTTCCCATGTAGGCATCTATGCGGTCGACACTACTATTTACTCCTGCCTCAAAAACAAATCTAGTGTTGCTGTCAAAACTAACCTGGCCGTTTGTCTCGAAAAGGACCTCCAGTCGGTTGTGGACTGAAGCAGAAATTGGCTGGTTAAATTTAATGCATTAAAAACAAAATTTCTCTCTATTACTCACCACATAGAATCATCCCTGCCTCCCATTAGAATGTCTGACGCTCAACTCCACGAGAACACCGCTTTGCAAGTGCTCGGTCTCACATTGTCTACTGACCTGGGATGGAACAAATACATTGAGTCAATAGCTTCGACCACCGCAAGTACGAAGCTATTGACTCGCGCGAGGAAATTTTTCTCGCCAGAGTCAATCCTTCAAATCTACAAATCAACCATTCGCCCTTGCATGGAGTATTGCTGCCATATATGATCTGGAGCCCCTTCTGTTTGTCTCAAGGTCCTTGATAAAATCCAGAGAAGAAATGCAATGTAATTGGCTCCGATCTGGCATCTCGTCTGCAGTCGCTCTCTCACAGACGTGCTGTCGCCTACCTCTGTCTTTTTACAAATACTTTCACGGTAACTGCTCCGATGGGCTGCTTTCGCTGGTCCCAAGACTTCATGAATTTAAGCGTTCAACTAGGCTGGCATCTCGCTCTCACCCTTTCACTGTCGAAACTGTTAAATGTAGCCGCCTCTTCTACTTCAATAGCTTCATGTCTCACACCTCTCGCCTGTGGAACTCCCCTTTCCTTGTTTCCCTGATAGCTATAATCTGAAACTATTCAAATGTAATGTCAATCGACGTCTCCAGATGCCTTGATCTATCCCCTATCCTTCTCTTTATCCTTTCCTCTATCAATCCTCTTTGCTCTAGTTCCAACTCTCTGTAACCCCTTGCGTGCTAGTGGCTTCCCGCCTTGCTTGGGGTGAAACGATTAAAAAAACCTCAAGGTTGAGGGTTACTGTAATGGAGCTGTATTAGCGTCAAAAAGGGCAAAAAGTGAGAATTACAGAGTTGAAGTAGTCTTTAGAAGGAACCGGAAACCCAGTCCTTAACAGGAAACAAGGGAAAAACCTCTACCCCTCTTTTAAAAAACCGGAGATATGTATGAAGCCGACGATAAGCGAACCTATCAACTCCAATTATTGTGTCTAAGGTAACATACCTTAGCAATAATCATTTTCTCTACAGACTGGCTTTGAATTCAGAATTATCCTTCTCCAAGATAAGTTTCCCTATTAGGGTTAAAGGGCTCTGTTAGATCAATTATTATTTACGACGATTTACATTTAATGTATTCTTTCTCTTCCACTACTACTCTACTATTTAACCCATAGCTAGAGGAGGATGAATGTATAGAGTTTTCATAGATATTTTTTGCGAAAATGAACGCAAACTTTGATCAGAATTACACATTTAGTCAAATACTTACAGACAATAAAACTAACCTTATCCTGAATATGACTAACAAAGATATATGACCTTAAATGTATAAGCATTAATATCGAGGCTAATTTGTTAACCCAACCTCTCTACTAGGCTCAGTGGATGACGCTTATGTTAAACTTTGGGGATGCTTCTCTTCTAGGCTCTTTAGACGTTGCTTATGGTGATTTTCTAAGTGTAACTTGAGATGTGACAGAAGGACGAAAGCATAGGTCATTCAGTGAGGAAGAAAATTCCTATTCAGTCGTAATTGATGTAAGCCTTACACAACATCACGGTGTACAGGATGTTGATTGTGTATGTTTAGAATTTGATAACTCGAAATAAATATTTCATCAAACGTACGTCTGTTTCACAGAAATTGTATTCTTGAACAGATAACTGCATTTGAAGAATCTTAAATTATGCGATACCGGAGAGTAAGTATTTTCATTATTAAATTTATTTTTTTAAGTTTCTGCCTCATTTGGCTACGAAACTTTTGCTTTGGCTATGTGCATATATTTGCAGTTATATATGTCCAAGCTCTTATGCACAACTTCACAGGGTAGATAGACTGAAAATATGAACAGACTGAGATAGATAGATATGAACAGACTTAGATAGATATGAACAGACTTAGATAGATAGATAGATAGATAGATAGATAGATAGATAGATAGATAGATAGATAGATAGATATGAACAGACTTAGATAGATAGAGAGATAGATAGATATGAAGAGATTTAGATAGATAGATAGATAGATAGATATGATAGATTTAGATAGATAGATAGATGAAGATAGATAGATAGATAGATTAGATAGATAGATAGATAGATAGATAGATAGATAGATATATATGAAGAGACTTAGATAGATAGATAGATAGATAGATAGATAGATAGATAGATAGATAGATAGATAGATAGATATGAACAGACTTAGATAGATAGATAGATAGATAGATAGATAGATAGATAGATAGATAGATAGATAGATATGAAGAGACGTTGTTTGAACTCAAGAGAGATTAGACTCAGTTTTCCATAGATTGTGTTAAGCGCTGCATGGGATCTCCAACTGATGTTCTGGATTTTTCAAAGCAGATTTGTTCATGTTCCATCCAATAGTCTTTGAAGACGCACAGATAATACCCAAGACAGATAGATAGATTTTCTTATTATTCACTACAAATCATGTGTTATTACAAAATTGTTAATTTTTTACCTTATCCATTTATAGATTCATGAGCACCATGAGATTAATTAACACGTCTGCTGTATGCTATGAAAACGTCACCGATGAACAAAAAGCTTGTCTGTTCCAGAAGAAAAAGGAAGTACAAGAAATGATTTCTCAAAAAATGAAAGTATTAAATACAGTGTAAGTACATCTACATCTCTCTCTCTCTCTCTCTCTCTCTCTCTATCTATATATATATATATATATATATATATATATATATATATATATATATATATATATATATATATATATATATATATATACAGTTTGCTTTGAGCCTTGCTGGTCGAAGCCTGTGAATTCAGTTTCAGGCATTGACATAGAATCCAATATATTTGGCAGTGTTTTATACAGAACTATGCATTGCTAATGGTGTTTGTAGTCATAGCTAGGCTATCTGTGTAGTCAATATCTGTCAAGTCTTTTCGGGATATAAACTTTAGAATCTAGGCGATAAAGTAAAACCTAGATGATGATGTTTGTCGGGAGAAGTTCTAAATAGGTAGTCAAGGAGAATAACAAAGTGAATAGGTGCAAAGGTGCCAACTTGAAGGACCCCTGCTTTTATGTCAAACAAGTTAGTGTTTTCGTCTGTAGATATAACCAAAACTTGACACTGATAATATGAAATTAGGAAGAAATAATTGAAAGGTTTAAAAACGTTAAAATCGTTAAGCTGAAAACATGAATTAAAATATGGAGCCAGGAAAAGAGAGAATATTTTTCCTGCTAAACTGGTGGCAAATAGAATTCTTATGAATTCGCAAATCTGGAATGTAAGCAATCTAAAATATGCCCTGAGAAATGAAGATATGAAACGTAATGGTCGGACTGAGTTATTATAAATCGCAAAGTCAATAATGCAAGGTGGGAAAAGATTTTAATCTGTCATATTGTTTCTTTGAGATCAGGAAAATGGAAATAATTTTTAAACACAAAAGTTTGATTTCGGAAAGATTATTGTTGTCAAAGAATGTATTGTTTTAAATAACTGACCGCTTTGTTTGGCGGTGATTTTGGCGGGAGTGCCATATTTATTTATTTATTTGTGTTAATTTATTTTACTTGTTTTTTATTGTCATTTTTATTTTATATATTTATTTATTCTTTTCGGTTTCCGGTGTTTTATTAACGTAAATATAGCACACCTTTCAACTATATTTCTTCGTATATATATATATATATATATATATATATATATATATATATATATATATATATATATTAGTCTGATCATTACTATCTTTCTTGGCTGCTATCAGTATTGACTTGTACATGCTTCATAATAATTGCATTTATTTTTTGTTAATCTTCTTTCACGACCTTCGTCAAACATGCCTATGAGACCTTGTTTATATAGATCAACCACCCTGACAATCAAGTTACAAAGATTAACTTTTCACAGAAATCCAACCATTTATCTTTAATTTTTTGCTACATTAATACTATAAATAATATGATTCTAATTTCATCGTAATACATGATTTCTGACACTACTGATTTATTTAAACGAAGAAGACAAAAGCGATATAATTTAATAAGAATCATTGTGTGCTGCTGATCATCTACTATCCTACATGGGTAGGTTTTCGGGGAGGATGATCGCGGGTTCATTTTAACAGGGGCTGATACTTTATTTCTGGTCAGCGCTCCTTATGCACAGTCTGAGAGCTATGATGAAAACAACTAAAATTAAATTAACATATGCACGAGTCAATAATTAATAGGGATTTACATAAAACGTAAAAGCATCTTCATTTTATTTGTTCATACATCTATTTCAGCATACTACGGTTCGCCTAGATCTGTATATCACATTCTCTATGATCTATCTTTCTCTATATAAGCGTACCAATCTAAGCATTTTGTTGACACTATGACAAATTGTTCATTACTTTCAGTCTAGTCAAACGATTGTGTGTGTTTGTCTAGATATGTCTATCCGTTCATCGATCTATTATTTTCTTACCGTATTTTTATATCTGTAGATTTATCTATTGGGTTAGTGCATAATTATCAGGCGCTTTTAATGATTCAACAATAACATTTTTAAAGGATTATTCCGGAGCGTATGATTATCGATACGAATTTTAAAATAAAATAATATTTTTTATTAAAAAAAAGGAAACAAAACAGCAATTTATTTACAAATAACTCGCTTACAAAAATGTCTGATAATAATGCACGAACCCAATATATCATTCTATTTATATTTCTTTCTCGCCCTCTCTCTTCCTCTCTCTCTCTCTCTCTCTCTCTCTCTCCATTTCTTTCTTTCTTTCCTTTTTTTTCTCTTCATGCGAACATTGTTGTTTTGATCATTGCTACATTTCTTTTTCTCTATTTATTTTGTTCTTTCTTTCTTTCTTCGTTTTTCTTTCTTCGTTTTTCGTCTTCGTTTTTCGTCTTCGTTTTTCGTCTTCGTTTTTCGTCTTCGTTTTTCGTCTTCATGTACTATTTCTTTTTTATTCTCTTTTTTGCCTTGTTTTTTCTCGATTTCCCGCCTGCTTTTTATTTTTTTTATTTTTTGTATTTCGCTGAACTCATTGTTTTATTTTTTTTTCTCCAGTATGGACAAAATGTTAGCTGTGTGTAATGTCAGTGAGAGCCAGACCCAAGAAATTTTCAAATGCATTTCACCAAAACGCGCTGAACTCGAGAAGATGATGCCACAACTACTCAACAACATGGACATGTATGTCAATATGTTTTCTAGATAATAAGCCATAACCCCAAGACTGACTCATTTCAAATCTCGTCAAGACTACTAGGACGAAATAAGTGTCCCAAAGTATTTACTCTCTATTAGACTATTTATTATGTGGTTATAAACCCTGATGTGACGGCACCTCGGCGTGGTGTAATGGTTAGCAAGCTTGTCTCGCTAGATCAGTTACGACTAAAAAGTGACTTCGATTCTCACTGGGTGCCCCATACTTTCGGCCTTGTGCCACATCTGAGCTACGCTTGGAAAATCACTAGGGAACCTCGGCGTGGTGTAATGGTTAGCAAGCTTGTCTCGCTAGATCAATTACAACTGAAAAGTGAGTTCGATCTTCATTAGATGCCCCATACTTTCGGCCTTATGCCACATCTAAGCTACGCTTGGAAAATAACTATAAACCCTGATGTGAAGAAATGTTCTAGAACATTAAGCATAATCTAAATTTCTTCCAAACGAATCTACTATCAGACAAGAACATTCTTGTTTTCTTTCAACATTCCAGCTTATCGGCTATGGGAGAGTTTATGCTAATAACATAGAAGTCCATAGATGCTACAGAAGTGATCCTGAATGAAAGATCAATATTCGACGCCAATTTTTCAAAAATTAGAACTTCAGTTAAAACTTCATGAACAGAAATTTTTGTGGAATTGGAATAATATCATGAGTATTGGTACCCTATCCGGAATCCATAAAAAAATTGAAAATTTGAATTGATAAAATGTAAACATAGAATAGAAATTAAATAAAGTATGGGTTACTTTAGAATCACCTTTGTTCAGCACCCCAAGATGTGTAGAGGACTGGGGAGTGAAGATGAAAAGAAAACAGATGCGTTTAAAATTCCTGCTAGAAGAAGGTCAAGCTATAAGAGAAATGGCGGACTCTAGTTCAATCAAAGATGAAGAAGACAAACAAGGCCGATATATATATATATATATATATATATATATATATATATATATATATATATATATATATATATATTTTATTATTATAGAGTATATTTTTTTATTATTATATATATATATATATATATATATATATATATATATATATATATATATATATATATATATATATATCGGCCTTTATATTGGCTCCTGAAAAATTAATTTCAGTTGAGCTCTCTGGGGAGCGAGACTCTTCGGCAAAAAAACGAATTGGGTCACTGTAGGTCACTGTGTGTTTTATCTAAAATAAATAAGCTAAAATTCACTTTCATCCCTGCCGTGCTTAGTGCCAACGGCTTAGTGGTAGAATCTCCGACTGACACCAATACGGTCGGGTTTCGATCCTAGCTAGAGGCAACCGGATGTCTAGCCACACTGAAGAGCTGCGAAACAGTCTGTCTGTTGATGACTTTTTTATATATATATATATATATATATATATATATATATATATTAATAACAAATTATAAATATATATATATATATTAACATAGTTAACATTGTGTTTGTGTGTGAACATTTGTGTTTGTTCTTTGGTGAATGTTCGTACGTACGTGTATGTTTGTAACGTTCATAGCATCTTCTCAGAAATGGGAAATACTGTCTTTTGTAAGAACTCACATAGTAGCGTTGTTCGCTGTAATGAAGAAAGAAGAGAAAGAATTATTTCACCTCCACGCGAGGTGGGATGCGGCACGAGGCCTGAGGGAAAAAGAGAGAGCTAAACAAGAAGTTGCCCAGTATTATAGTATGGGGAGAGAGATCCCTAGTGACAATTTGCGAACTAAGGAGGAGCTACCTTCGACAGATGTCACACACTAGAATATTAGCTTAAAAATTCTAGTCGTGTTTTTAAACGAATACCTCAGATCTAGACTTTAATATGGATGCCATTCATGTCCTTCAAACTACATCATTTAAACACTTGCCAGTGGCAACATCAAGAAAAATGTGTAGGACATGTACCTAGAGGAGAAGATGATGATATAATCAAGCAGTTAATTCCCCCCAAAACCGTAAAAATATGGAAGGAAACATCGACATTATAAAGTTGTATAGCATGTAGTAGATATGAAAAGCCTAACATTAATTGTTTGGTCAATGAAAATGCATGAAAACAGCTAATTTCGTCGTTACCTTAATTGCCTTGTGTAAATGTTGTTAAACTTAGACAATACCGATAATATTATTTTAGAAATCAAAACTCCGAAACTCTCAATCAGAAATAATGATCTTTAGATCTTTATATCAGATTTTATTATTTTTTATTCCAATCTTCTGCAGAAAACGGTCAAAGCAACAAGGGATATATCGTATTAATACACACTAATTGATAATATTTAAATGCATGGTTAGTATTTCAAATGCTATAATGTAAATAATATAAATAAACATACCAATGTCTATATATTCAAACGTAAAATATAATAATTAAAAACGTTAAAATTTATGAATGAAACAATTAATTTTATATTGTAGTTGGTATTTATCAGTATAAATCTCATACGTAATGTTTTCAAAGAAAAGATTCCAACTTTTATCAAAAGACATTGTGCGAAAAAACTTCATAGAAAAATAACTTTAAAACATAGGGAATAATAAAAGTACATTTAATAAAATAAATTAAACTCATCGCCTCATTAGAAGAACATTAAGATAAAGTAATTTAAATAACGATCATTTTTTAAGTATTTAAGTAACAATCATTTATGTATCGTAAGATTTATGTATGATATTTTTTTTAAAGTAATGGTGTTAATATTGATTTTAAGTGCGGAGCCTGTATGGAACTTAATGGAAGACATGAAACGCTGTTTTGATAGTAAACCAGAGATTGTAAAATGCATTGAAGGAAAGAGTAAATATTTCATGTCAAAATTTGGAGAAAATAAAAAGGAAGTTTCAAAGAGCGAAGTTGTTCAAAGGTAAGTGATTTTTATCCATTTTCCTTTATATTTGGATGACTAAATTTTTCTTATCAATTAAATGCCAATGTAACAGCTCAGAAAATAACCCCATCCCAGACCATAAACGCAAGTTTAGCATATTACTGTAAACCAATTTATACCAGAGTTATTTTAAATGAGGACAGTTTATACAACTAACTATATAATCACTCTTCAGAGAGAATATCTTCATTTCTTATCAATTAAATGCCAATGTAACAGCTCAGAAAATAACCCCAGCCCAGACCATAAACGCAAGTTTAGCATATAACTGTAAACCAATTTATACCAGAGTTATTTTAAATGAGGACAGTTTATACAACTAACTATATAATCACTCTTCGGAGAGAATATCTTCATTGAAATCACAAATCGCTTTAGGACATATTCAGTCATGGCTCTCCCAAACCTCCTATCATTCGTAGCTCTTAGTTAGGCTTAATTGCCTGCTCCCCTTTGTCTGTATTGCCTTCAGGATTTCATATGAGTGTCAAATTCACCAATCCCTCTTTTATCATTATTATATCCTAGAAATTACAACTGTCTTTTTATACTAAGTGTAAATGTACTTTTTGTTTCTATTTTATTAAAACTTCCTCGTTACTCACATGTTCCGGATATGGTATTCTTAGTATCGTTTTGTAGAATTAATTTTTTGTTAATTCAAGTTTCTTTTTTTGTTAATTCAAGTTTCTTTTTTTGTATGTAGGGGTATTGTCGAATAATATCTTTTATATAGGAATACTGATATTACATGGTAGCATCCCTTTTTCTTTGTTTCGAATTGAATTCTTCTGTTTCTTAATACTTGCCTTAACTTTTCGAAGAAACAAGTTGCCATTCCAAAGTTTTTTCCTATTTCGATGCTGCATTCTACGTCTTTTGTTAAAATATTTCCCAGATATATTGTTGTATTTGCTCGATTTTAGCTTCTTCGATTTGTTCTTCGCAACTTGGGCATTTTTACTTGCTTGCAAACATGTATTCTGTTTCTTAAAATTTATCCTAAGTCATAATATCTTCTATTGTATCTAAAATGATAATTGTAAATACTATGGATCATATAGACGTTCCTTTCTTGCATTTCACAATCCACAGTTTTAACCCGATTCCATTTTTGTCACATTAATAGACCAAAATTTAAATATCTAGGAAGCGTTTTAACAGAGGATTCAAAATGCGAAACCAAAATCTGAAGGCGCATTGGTATAACAAAAGGTGCCTTCCAAAAGTTAAGCAAAGTATTAAGAAACAAAAAAAATTCCATTGTAAACAAGAAAAAGAGTACTGAATTGCTATGTAATATCGGTTCTCTTATATGACAGTCAATGCTGTACCATTACATCACAGATGGAGAAAAACTTCTGTGGTTCTATCGAAGAATGCTGATAATAGTACGTCGTGAATACATGAACAACGTCGAAGTTTTAGAGAAAATTGAAAGAAAACGCGGTATCAAAAAGAGACATTAGAAATTCCTAAAGCACATAAGAAGGAAAGACAGCTCGGAAAATATAACACTCATATGTCAATTAAAAGGCAAAAAGGACAATGAAAAACAGCTGATTACCTACCTAATGGGCTTGTGCGAGAGAATAAAAATTAGGAGATATAGCTAAAAGACAAACTTTACTAAGGGCTACAATCGACAGGACATCGTGGAGAGCCTGATCACTCAACGGTACATAGAAGAAGATGGCCTAACTTAAGGTACCTATTGATTCAATTAGGTACCGCCAAACAATGCCTGGTTACGGTTTATGAGTTCACATTAACTATTATTACAACTTTGTAAACTAAAGATATCACATACATAACGAGAACTGTTGTTACTAGCAATAGTAAAATAAAGTATGAACTGACCTGATGGGCTATCACTTAAACATTCCCTAATGTATGAAGTAGGTTAATCTTAATGTTACCTCGGGTGTGGGTTCTGTACAAGATTAAAATATACCTCAATATATTCTGTGAGGATTGACCTCAGTGTTTCAAGCAGTTATAAAATGAATTTAGTATTTTTAGTTCTACATTCTTACTTTACATGATAAACTTTAAAAAGATAAACTGAAAAATGCTAGAAAGTCATTTCTTAAAGTCGAATTATTCCATATAGGTAATAGATATCATACTATTCTATACCATAAGAGATATCAACGGAACCATATAGGATATTTTTGGTATATTTTAAAAAATGCCATGACTCTACAAGAAGTAAGAAATCATGATTCTCTCATCATCGACAAGAGCTACGGGTTTAATATGAAGATAAACACATGGTTCTCCAAATATGTGTGACAACCAGTCTAAGAGAAGGAAAACCCTGAATTGAAAACCGTAGAAAAGGCAATGGAAAATCACTCTGCTACCATTCCCAAGGAGTTGAGAAATTCACAGAAAATAAAGAAACGGAATCTGTGAATAAACATCATCGCCTAAGTCTTGAAAAATAAGATTTTTCATTTATATATATATATATATATATATATATATATATATATATATATATATATGAGAGAGAGAGAGAGAGAGAGATAGATAGATAGATAGATAGATAGATAGATAGATATAAGAATAAAAGGAAAAATTATCTTAGATGAAATCTTCCGTGCTTAGAGGGTCTTTATGAAGACAAATCCAAAGATTATATTTTGTAACATATATTGTAATATCTATTCATTTTGTAACATATATTGTAATATATATTTCTTTTGTAACATATATTGTAATATGTATTTCTTTTTGTACTATATATCGTAATATCAATTTATTTTGTAACATATATTGTAATATATATTCATTTTGTATCATATAGTGTAATATATATTTCTTTTGTAACATATATTGTAATATATATTTCTTTTGTATCATATATTGTAATATATATTTATTTTGTATCATATATTGTAATATATATTCATTTTGTAACATATATTATTATATATATTTATTTTGTATCATATATTTGTAATATCTATTCATTTTGTAACATATACTGTAATATATATTTCTTTTGTAACATATATTGTAATATGTATTTCTTTTTTGTACCATATATCGTAATATCTATTTATTTTTAACATATATTGTAATATATATTCATTTTGTATCATATAGTGTAATATATATTTTTTTGTAACATATATTGTAATATATATTTATTTTGTATCATATATTGTAATATCTATTCATTTTGTATCATATATTGTAATATATATTTATTTTGTATCATATACTGTAGTATATATTCATTTTGTGACGTATATTGTAATATATCTTTCTTTTTAACATATAATATATATTTTTCTATTTAAATTCTTTTATTTTTGTAGACTAAAAATGATGCTACCGAATTGCAATATCAGCATTACCACAAACAAAGATCTCTATGAATGTCTGAAACCATTAGAGCAAGAACTTATAGCTGTTATTTACAGAACAGATATGAATATGATGACGTAAGTAAGATATATAGTTATTTTTACAACAACATATATCCTCTCAAAGAAAATTGGTTTGGGGGGGAATTTTTATTCTCTTCATGAGTGTGTGTTGCTCTATATATATGTGGGTGCTTGTTTCTTTCATTGCAAAACCTTGTATGCCCATTTTTGCTATCCGAACGCGTCTCCGCGTCCTTGTGGGTGACAAATTATTTTCCACCATGCAACCCCTCTTTCACAGACAAGATATCGGAAGCCACTCGCTGTTCCATCGCTACTTTCATGGAATATGCTCAGGCATACTACATTCCTTACTTCCACCTGTTCTAATCTTCACGGCTGGGACCCGCTGTGCTACGCACATTGTAAAAAACCACCGTCATTTCCTCCGTTTCACTGGTGAGAAGTAATTTCCACTCAGGCAACTTCTCGCAAACAAGTGCTATGTGGAAACGACTCCTAAGAGGATCTTTTCCCGATCACTACAATCTTAACCTGTTCAAGTCTAGCATTAACCATTATCTTTCCAACATATCCACATAGACTTGCTTTTTATTCTGTAAGCGTCTACCTTGAGTGGCCCCCGGGCCTTTCGCAGGTTTAACTTCACTGTAAAAAATGTTCGTTATAGAAAGAAAATTGTATGATTTCAGAGCTGATATATCTTGAAGGAAACCTTAAATAATTCTCATGCATGGCAGCTTCGTTATGGGATATTAAAAAATATAATCATGTTTTTTTTTAATATATTTGCAGGAAATTAGAAGAATTAGAGATGATGCATATTTCTGGCGCACTGTGTATGTTGCATAGCGATGAAGAAACAATGACGTGCTTAGCGAAACAAGGTACACCTTTGAAAGATGCAATGATTCAGGTGTTTCAGAAAAAAACATCTAAGTTCGACCCGAATAGCGCCATGGCGAAGTAAGTCTAATATAGTTTCGCCTACTACAATCATACGGTTATAGCTGATTAACTCCAGTCGTCAACTTATGTGTCATTAGACAATTTCGCCACCATTAAAACTTAACAATTACATTGTCAACGAATAAAGCAGAAAACTACAATCGATTCAATGTAATTGCTCTACAGAAAGATATGTATATATATATATTTCTGTGGAGCAATTACATTTTATTAACTATTAGATTTGCTGCTAGGATAGTGTTGTGACCAAGTAAATGGTTTAAGAAATAACAAAACAAGGGTTACAGATATATCATATATTAAACAGTAAATACAACAGAAGAGTACTATACGACTAGTGAGTGTACATCGGATGACCAATCTATTCGACTGTTATATTTAACAGCCCCCCCTCTACGAGGGATGTAAGTGGCACAAGGACAAGTTTACCGTGGCTTTTCCAAGCCCGTAGGCTCGGCTAAAAAATATTCCCTTAAAACCCGCATAAAAGGATTCAGGGCCTTTCTATCTCGCCGGACGAAACATTACCCTGCGGCAAAACCTCGTCCATGTTTCTCTCTGCCGAGGCAGAGAGTTCAACAGTTACGAACAGTCTGGTCGCCTGTTAATATTTAACAGCCCCTCCCCCACGAAGGATATATGTGGCACAAGGCCAAGTTTACCGTGGGTTCTCCGAGCTCGTAGACTTGGCCAAAAATATTCCCTTCGAACCCGTATAAACGGTTTCAGGGCCCGTCTACCTCCCCGGAAGAAAACCCTGCCCCGCGGCAAAACCCCGCCCGAGTTCTTCTCGAGGCAGATAGTTCAACAGTAATGATCACTGGTCGACTGTTCTCCCAAGGCCTTCTCTCCTACTAATCGTATAGCAGGATGAAGAGAACATAGACTCTTTAGAGGGAGGACACCACAACAGATTCTTGGTTCACTGCCTCGTCCTAGACATATTTTTATTCTAGAATCGATTTTGTGCCTTTTAAGACTTCCACTCGTCTGCGCATTGAATATTTTTGTCATATTTCGTTTGGTGTTTTTTCTATATGTTGTAGAGTAGTTTTTACAGTGGAGGCTTGTATTTCAATAAGTCGGTTCGACGTACAAAACGTTAGGAACTTGAAATAATAGTTAATGACGCAGCAATCTAGTTGTGGTGGTTGATACTTTAATGTCCGACATCGACTGACTCACCAACTCACTCTGAGCCCCCTGGCGACTGCTACTACTACTACTTATTATATCTGGGAGAGTCTATTAATAATAGAATAGGCATGTTCTAGTATAACACTATATCAAAAAATTCGTGTAAAAGTCCAGTGACGAATTTACATTTTCATGGCTCATGAACTGGCGTCTCGTCCTCAGTCCCTTTATCACCGCCGAAACATATTCTCCCTGCATCTGACCTATAAATCATTTTATGTTAATTATTCTGATGGGCTTTCCTATTAGGTACCTGGACTTCACGTATTTAAGCGCCGAGCAGGATTGGCAGTTCGCTCTCTTAAATTTGCTGCTTAAATTGCAAATGTAAATGTAAGTCCGGGCTAATGATTTCTTCTTTCGCACTTCTCACTTGAGGAACATTCTACTGGATTCTTGCTTTCCTGTTAACTGTGATCTTCAAAAATGTAAATGCAACGTCAATCGTCGTCATCTGTTTTATTTCCTCAGTTTCTTTCATTCTCAAAACCCCTTGGACCTTTGTTGCTTTGTCACCTGGCTTGGAGGGAAATGACTAAAATAGTTTTAGTCACTTCTCATCTAATCTGTTTGCATTTTATAACGGTATATTTATAACCGTTTTTATCAAGCAATATACCGAATGCAACAACAAAATCATCCAAATCGTGTAACAGCAAAATTGAACCGTTGCAGCTTAGAAATGATTAAAGATATCTTACTGGAATTCTCCGAAGTATAACACTACTGGACTTTTTGAACAATAAGAATGTATAATTAGTCTCCAAGTTTAATAGAAGAATCGTAATGAAATCAATCGTAAACGAAAATGACATGTTCCTCATTAAGGATCAGAAGCTTATGAAGGATTGAAATTAACTTCATATATATATATATATATATATATATATATATATATATATATAGTTATGGGAACTTACGCATAATAATAATGGACTATTCCTGACATTATAAATACTGCGCCTGTCAAGAGGTATGAGGGAGATTGTAAGACGAGGAGGGATAATTGAGAGCATATTGTAAGGACATTGGAATAGTGATACTTGTCGAGACAACGTAGTTCACTCTAACCAAATCTGATAGTCATTACTAATACTTCTACTTCTTTGTATTATAGTTTTGTTGTAATATATCTTTGTATTCCATACCTGTGTTCGTGTTATTCTTTCATTGGTTCTAACCTTGAACCATCACCGTGGTAGAAGGAACTTGGACCATAACATATATATATATATATATATATATATATATATATAATTTCAGGATCATTTTCCAACTTATTCAAGATGATCTTCGCTCTCTCTAACCTTGTAGTCTTCTCTCCTGGTGTAGCAGTGTGCCGCAAAGATTTCACATATAATTTCATTTTCAAGTCTTTTTTCACTGCTCTTTGAAATTCCATAGCTGAAACTCCTCTCTCACGTTCCAAACGTCTTATGGATCGAGTTGGATGTTTTGTAATTGATCACTTTAGCTCTAAGTTGAAATGACGATCTCTCTACATGTTGTGACCTACCCGGTCTCTTGATGGTTCTTCAATGCATTTTGAAGATGGAAGTCAAGTATAAATTTTAGTTTTTTTTTACATATTATACAGTAGGATGAACGATTATCCTATGCTGTGTGTAACAAATGGACAATTTTGGTGTTACATATATATATATATATATATATATATATATATATATATATATATATATATATAAGCAAATATATGGATATAGATCCTACAGTATGAAGAAAAATATATACGGAAAAAACAAACAAAAATCCTTATATGCAATTATGCTGTTTTAATGTTAATATATCAACGTCGGACGTTTCGGTCTAATAAACCATCTTCAGGACATATTCATAAATATAATTAACATTATCAATTCAACATGACAAAGACGATGTGCATAAGAAACAAGACTTATCCAAACAAATAACTGAAAGTTTTATAAGAACAGCGCTCCGTTTAAAACATGGTCACGTTGTCTTCACGTGGGCGACGCTGTGAAAACGTATTCCTAAAATTTGAGTGAATACTAGACCTGGCTTCTTTAGTATTTCCCCTTTTCTAGCGAGATTAATGCTCGACAAGCGTACATATAAATTTTAGATCAAAATAGAATTCTTTTCATTTTTCATTCAAAATACTCAAATTTTATTTGTTTGTTTTTTCCGTATATATTTTTCTTCATATATATATATATATATATATATATATAAGCAGTGCTCCCAGATGTCAACTGATTATAGAGCTCTATGTTTGGTGATATTTTTCCCTAGTTTTCAGTTCTTCCCTTTTCTTCCTTCAATATTTATT